TAAATATATATAATATATAATATATAATATATAATATATATATATATATATATATATATATATATATGTATATACAGAGAGAGAAAGAAAGAGAAAATGTCTGCTTATAAATAGAGCTGCAGCAGCAATATTGGGGTGTATGTACACCTGAAAGGAGACAATAGAGAAATAGAAAGAAAATAAATAAATAAATAAATAAATAAAATAAAATAAAATAAAATAAAATAAAATAAAATAAAATAAAATAAAATAAACAAAAAACAAAAACAACAAATAGACGGTATAAACAAATAAACAAAAAAATAAAACAAACAAAGAAACAAATAAAATAAAACAGAAAGAATAAACAAAATAAATAAATAAATAAATAAATAAATAAATAAATAAATTAAATAAATAAATAAATAAATAAATAAATAAATAAATAAAAGAAACAAAAAAGTGAAGCTTTGGGGGGCTGCATATACACCCCAGAGCACTCTATTTTATTTGTCTCCTTTTGTCTCCTTTTGTCTCGTTTTTGTTTTTTTTTTATTTTTTTATATTTTTGTTTGTTTTTTTCTGTCTTTTTCCGTCTCCTTTTGTCTCCTTTTGTCTCCTTTTTGTTTTTTTTTATTTTTTTTTATATTTTTGTTTGTTTCTTTCTTTTTCTGTCTCCTTTTGTCTCCTTTTGTCTCCTTTTTGCTTTCTCTTTATTATATTTGTTTGTTTCTGTCTCTCTTTTTATCTTTTTCTGTCTCCTTTTTATTTTTGTTTGTTTCTTTCTATCTCTGTCTCTTTCTGTTTTTATTTTTTTTTTGTCTCCTTTTGTCTGTCTCCTTTATTAGTTATTTATTTTTTTGTTTTATTTTTCTTTTTGTTTGTTTCTCTTTCTGTCTCCTTTTATATTTTTGTTTGTTTGTCTTTGTTTCTCTTTGGGTTTAGGGTTTAGGGTTTACAAGGGTTCAGGGTTTAGGGTTTACAAGGGTTTAGGGTTTAGGGTTTAGGGTTTTGCGAGGGTTTAGGGTTTAGGGTTTCTTCTTCTTTTCTAGGGTCCTTACTGGGTGCTGCTTTAGGGTTTTTAGGGTTTAGGGTTTAGGGTTTGTGTATTTGTTTAGGGTTTAGGGTTTTTTTCTTTTCTCTTTTTATTTATTTCTTTCTGTCTCTCCTTTATATATTTGTCTCTTTCTCTTTCTGTCTCTATCTCTTTCTGTCTCCTTTATTATTTTTTGTTTGTTTTTTTTTGTTTTTGTTTGTTTTTGTTTATATATATTTTCTTTGTTTTATCTATCCTTCTATCTGTCTCTTTATTTATTTATTTTAGGGTTTAGGGTTTGTATCTCTTTCTGTCTCCTTTTTCTTTCTTTGTTTCTTTCTCTCTTTCTCTTTTCTTTGTTTTATCTCTCCTTCTATCTGTCTCCTTTCTCTCACTACTACTGCTGCTGCTGCTGCTGCTGCTGCTGCTGCTGCTGCTGTCTCCTTTCTGCTTCTGTCTCTGTCTCCTTTGTCTCTCTGCTGCTGCTGCTGCTGCTGCTTCTGCTGTCTTCTTTCTGTTTCTGTCTCTCTCTATATTTTATTTCTCTGTTGCTGCAGCTGCTTCTGCTGCTGCTGTCTCCTTTCTCTTTCTGTCTCTCTCTATATTTTATTTATCTATTGCTGCTGCTGCTGCTGCTGCTGCTGCTACTGTTTCTGTCTCTATTTTATTTGTCTCCCTTACCACTAGAGTGCGGCTTTAGTTTGTAGCAGCAAATCAAACAAAAATGTTGCTGCTGCTGCTGCTGCAGTTGCTGCTGCAGCTCTTGCTGCTGCAGCTCTTGCTGCTGCAGCTCTTGCTGCTGCAGCTCTTGCTGCTGCTGCTGCTGCTGCTGCAGCCCTTGCTGCTGCAGCTCTTGCTGCTGCAGCAGCAGCAGCTGCTGCTGCTGCTGCAGCTGCTGCTGCATGCAGCAGAGGAGACAGCAGCTAAATAGAAAATAGAAGAAGCGACCCCTCTGTCTCCTTTTGCTGTTTTATCTGTCTCCACATAAAAAAAGGAGACAGAGAGAGACAAAAGGAGACAAAAAGAAACAAAAAGAAACAAAAGGAGACAGAAAAGGAGACAAAAGGAGACAAACAGAGACAGAAAGAAACAAAAAGAGACAAAAGGAGACAGAAAAGGAGACAAAAGGAGACAAAAGGAGACAAAAGGAGACAAGATGAGACAGAAAGAGAAAGAAAGAGACAAAAGGAGACAAAACAAAACAACAGAAGACAGAAAAAAATACAAAGCAACAAAAGGAGACAGAAAAGGAGACAAAAGGAGACAAAAGGAGACAAAAGGAGACAGCAGTTTTGTCCCTGTTTGTTTCTTTTTTTTTGTTTTATTTTCTTTTATCTTTTTTTCTTCTCTCCTTTTTGTTTTTTGTTTTTGTCTCCTTTTATCTGTCTCCTTTTATCTGTCTCCTTTATCTGTCTCCTTTATTTATTTATTTATTTATTTATTTATTTATTTATTTATTTGTTTATTTCTGTCTCCTTTCTCTTTCTTTCTCTGTTTTCTTTTTTTTCTCCTTTCTCTCTTTCTGTCTCCTTTCTCTTTCTCTGTCTCCTTTCTCTTTCTGTCTCTTCTCTCTCTCTCTGTCTCCTTTCTTTCTCTGTCTCCTTTCTCTCTCTCTGTCTCCTTTCTCTTTCTCTGTCTCCTTTCTCTTTCTGTCTCCTTTCTCTTTGTCTCCGTTTGAATGTCACCTTTTTAATTTGTCTCCTTTTTATTTGTCTCCTTTTTCTTTCTGTCTCCTTTCTCTCTCTCTCTGTCTCTTTTCTTTATCTGTCTCTTTTATAATTTGTCTCCTTTTTATTTATCTCTCTTTATACTTGTCTCTCTTTATATTTTTATTTTTTTATTTTTATTTTTTTATTTATTTTTATTTTATTTTATTTTATGATGGCAATTCCCCCCCAAAGAAGAATTTAACTCGCTGCATAACAGAATCCTAAAAAAAAAAAAAAAAAAAAAAAAAAAAAAAAAAAAAAAAAAAAAAAAAAA